GAGTTTGGAACAAAGAAGAAGAAATGCCACATTTTCGCTCGCTTTAGCCAAGACAATGCTCAAGTGACAAAAATAGAATGCTTCTCGCTCACTTGTCGCTACGGCTTTGCTCAAGTGACATTATCCCTTCACTTGAGTGACATTATTTTTGACCAACCTTAGTTTGCGATTTTGGAAAGTTTTACACGGCCTATAATACCTAAACATCTCTAACTATAAATACTCAAGCCTTGCAGGATTTTCTAAGGTCGTTGTACATTGTGCCTTTCTTGGAAAACATATTCATAACATCCTCTGTTGATCCAAGAACACATTCATCCGAGGATTCAAATCATTTATTCTTTAGATCCTACAACCACAGATTGGGAAAAATCAAGGTCCCAGAATCCAAAACATCCACTTCCTTTGTGCAACAATGAAGGTACTTTCTTAGTTGGAACTTCAAAGGCTGCTAAAGATTGAGGAAGGTTGGACTACAAACGCAGGAATAAGAACAACAATTGGTCATTCTTGGGTATCTACTTGGAAGAAACAATTGTACAAGATCGAGAAGTTGGAGGAGACAGCAGTGTCTTGGAGATTATAGAAAATAGATCAAGAAGTCTAGTGGAGTTGGCTAGACAATATTTAACTGTAACATTCATTGTCCATAGTGGAGGTAACTTGTTTGATCGCGAAGTTTTTATCGAGTTGGGTTTATCCGTCAACAATATTGGTGTTATTCATTGTTTCCATATTACAAACTGTGGTATTCAAATATAGAGAATTGGACTTGTATGCTTAATCATCTAGAAACAATTAAAAAGCGATTTGTTGCTTTTAATAGGTTAATTTCGTACATAAGGTCAAACTAATCGGTAATCTAGAGAACTCACAAGTCTTATCTAGAAAATTTTTAGTATCATAGCATTCTAGGTTTTTTTCACATTTTAAATTTTTAGTTTTTGTAATTTAAATTGTATCCTACGTCCTCAAACTAAATAATTTAAGAAAAAATTCAATTAACATTGAAAAGATTAACGAGTACTAACTAAAATTTATAATGAGGCTGGCCCCGAGCATTATCCATCTTATCCCAATCATATTTGGTACTTTGGATTTGATGTAATTATATTGTATTTCCAATAATTATTTGGAAAATACCATGCATTTTGAATACATTTGTCAGCAGAGTGTAACATGCATAGGTGAAAACCTAAAGTTCATCAAATGTTAAATTAACAAAACTAGATCTTATGAAAGAGAGGAAGTACCAACTAATTTGAAATCGATGATTAAGTAACTATGAAGTTGTTGTTGCATGATATATTTCTAATAATTATTTGAAAAATGCCATTTATGATGAAAAACATTTGTCAAAAGAGTATAAAGTGACTAGGTGGTAGCATCATTTAGATTTTTTGTCAGCATAGATATCTTTGTTAAAGGCGACCATTTAAATTTAGAGTTTTCATAACTAAATTGCACCCTAGGTACTCAAACTAATAAATTAAAAAAATAAATTAAATTAATATTGAAAATATTAGCAAGTACTAACTAAACATTGTAATGAGGCTAGCCGCTAGTTGTATCCATCTTTATCCCAAGCATATTGGGTACTTTGGATTTGATGTAGTAACGTTGTATTTGTATCAGACGCAAGCCAAAAAAATTCTTCCAGATAAGAATGTTCTGATTTAGTATTATCACTTTGATTCTTCTTAAAAGATTTTTTAATTGTTTTTTTAGCATTCTGACTATCTTCTTCATTATGGGTATTAACTATTTGGAAATTACCATACATTTCAAAAACATTTGTCAAAAGAGTGTAAAATGCATAGTTGAAAACCTAAAGTTCATCAAATGTTATATTAACACACAAAATAATCTTATGAAAGGCATGATGTACCAAATAATTTGAAGTTGATTATTAAGTAACTATAAGTTATTGTTGTATGATATATTTTTACTAATTATTTGAAAAATGCCATAAATGCTGAAAAACGTGTCAAAAGAGTTGAAAATGTGAATGTGTAAGCTTAAAGTTAATTTAGATTTTCCATCTCTACGAAAATCCTTTTAAAAGGTGACTATTTTAAATTTAGAGTTTTCGTAATAAAACTGGACCCTAGGTCCTCAATCTAAGAAATTAAAAATAAAAAAGTAAATTCAAATAATATTTAAAATATTAGTGAGTACTAACTAAACAGTATAATGATTAGCAGTATACATCTTCATCTCAAGTATATTAGTTACTTTGGATTTGATGTAATTATGCTGTATTTCTAATATTTATTTGGAAAATGCTGTACATTTTGAAAAACATTTGTCAAAAGAGTATAAAATGAATATGTGGAAACCTAGGGTTCATTAGATGTCAAATTAACACAAAATAGATCTTATGAAAAATGACTAAGTGGTCGTGCAAAATTCATATAGATTTTCAATCCTCGTAAAAAAAATCTTTGTTATAGGTAACAGTTTTAACTTTAGAGTTTTCACGATTGAAATTTTATCCAGAAGAGAGTAAAATGCATAGGTAGAAACCTAATGTTCCTCAAATGTTAAATTAACACAAAATAGATCTTATGGAAGAGGGGGAGTACCAACTAATTTGAAGTTGATGATTAAGTAACTATGAAGTTATTGTCTCATAATATATTTCTAATAATTATTTGAAAAATGTCAAACATGCATAAAATTATTTGTCAAAAGATTGTTAAACAACTAAGAGATAGCCTAAAGTTCATATAGATTCCCAGCAGCATAAAAATCCTTGTTAAAGGTGACCATTTTAAATTTAAAATTTTCACAGCTGATAATGCATTCTAGGTCTTCAAACTGAGAAATTAAAAAAAAAATTAATTAATATTGAAAAGTTTAGCAAGTATAAGCATGTTGGGTACTTAGGATTTGATGTGATTATGATGTGTTTCTAATAATAATTTTTGGAAAATACCATACATTTCAATAAAATAAATAAATAAATAAAAATAAAAAAGAATTTTGAAAAGAGTGTAAAATGCATAGGCGGAAACCTTAAGTTCATTTAGATTTTTCACCGGCATAAAAATATTTGTTATACATGACAATTTTATAATTAAAGTTGTGGTATAAATCTTTGTCAAGACACTAAATAAACAAATTGAATTGTTCAATTAGTGTTTCAAAAAGAGCGTCTAAGCACGAAACTGAGCCTTGCCACCAACCACATTTTACGTTTTTATATGAAGGCCCATTTAGGCTCGTACAAGCTAGAACGTTAGCCTTGACGTCTTCTCAAGCTTTACGATTTTCAAACACTTGATTTAATATATATAATATAAGTTTAGGAGATGTAGTTACATACCACTCAAATTGTTGAACGCCAAACTTAGATTTTCAATTGCTGATAGGTTTCCAAGTTCATTTGGAATATTTCCTGTCAATCCATTTAGACATATAGATTTTAAAATATCAAATGTTAAATTAACACAAAATAGATCTAATGAAAGAGAAGAAGTGCCTACTAATTTGAATTCAATAATTAAGTACCCATGGAGTTACTGTTGCATGATGTATTTCTAATAAATGTTTGGAAGATGGCATAGATTTTGAAAAACTTTCGTGAAAAATAGTGTAAAATGCCTAGGTGGTTACCTGAAGTTCGTTTTGATTTTCCACCGGCATAAAAATCTTTTTGGTCTACGAAAATTTCAAATTTTGAATCTTGATATAAATCGTTATCATGAAATTAAATAAATAAATTGAAATAGATTTAATAAGTGTCTAAAAGGTGCATTTGGGCATGAAGTTGGCCCTATCACCTAGCCACACAGTATACTTTTGTATGCCTAGCCTGTTTAGACCGGTAGAACTCTGAAGCTTAACTTGGATGTCTAGTCATGTTTCATGCTTTCTAGGTACGTACCATTAAAACGATTGGGCCCCAAATCTAGTAATACAAGTGCTGATACTTTTCCAATTTCATTTTCCTTTTCAGTTCATTTAAATATATAGATTTTAAAATATCGAATGTTGAATTAACACAAAATATACCTAAGGAAAGACGAAGTACCAACAATCGATAATTAAGTACCCATGAAGTTATTGTTTCATAATGTATTTCTAATCATTATTTGGAAAATGCATACATGCTGAAAATTATTTGTCAAAAGTGCGTAAAATGCCTAGGTGGTAACCTAAAGTTCATTTAGACTTTCCATTAGCATTAAAATCTTTGTTATTTATGACAATTTTTTATTGGGACAACAAATAAATTAAATAAAGTTAATCAATATTCTAGGCACGAAGCAAGGCCTTGCCACCTAGTCCGTTTAGGCTCATAATAACTTGAAGCTTGGCTTTGATGTCTAGCTGCACTTTATGATTCTTATAACATTGAAATGTATCAAATAAGTTTACGAGATCTTGATACATATCACTGAAACTGTTGTGCCACAAATCTTAATATACGAGTGTTGATAGGTTTCCAATTTCATTTAGTATATTTCCTATCAATCAATTTAAAAAACGTGGGGATTTTAAAATATCAAATGCTAAAGTAACACAAAATAGATCTAATGAAAGAGAAGAAGTACCAACTACTTTTAATTTCGATAATTAAGAACTAGTTATTGTTACATGAGATATTTCTAATAATTATTTGGAAAATGCTATACATACAGAAGTATATTTTTAAAAAAAGTGTAAAATGTCTTGGTGGTCACATAAAGCTTATTTAGATTTTCTCGCACCATAAAAATCGTTGCAATCTATGACCATTTTAAATTTAGTGTTTTCGTAACTAAAATTTCCATCTCCTATGCCCTCAAACTAACGAATTAAAATTAAAAAAAAATCACTTCCAATTAATAATGAAAAGACTATAAAATACTGACTAATAAAATGTGGCTAGCCACTAGCAGTATCCATCTCAAATAAAAGTTGATTGGGTACGTTGGATTTGATGGTATTATAATACTTATTGGAAAATGCTATGCATTCTGGAACACATTTTTCAAAATGCACAATTCGAGGTTTTAGGGATTAGTATGCACATAACGTTTAGTGAAGCTATGTAAAGGGACATACTCCATGGCCATCAACACGCAGATCACCATGTCTATAAGAGATGTTTTATGATGTGAAGGGACGGCAATTCTTGTCAATTGTAAATTTTTTTGGAATACTTTATCTAGTGAAGTGGGAGATGTGTATATGAACAACACTTTAAACTTACCTGTCAAATTATTTTCTCCAAGATAGAGAAATTGAATCTTTGACAAGTTCCCGATTTCCATTGGAATGATTCCGACAAAATTATTGTCCGTCAGAGAAAGTAGTTTAAGATTCATGCAAGCTCCCAAGCTTGGAGGAATGTTGCCACTCATTTGATTAGATGAAATCCTTAGCCTCTCCAGCTTTGGGAGATTGAAGCAAATATCCATCGGTAGACTTCCTGTGAGACTGTTGTTTCCAAAATTAATTTCAATCAAAGAACTGAGGTTAAAAATCCTGTTAGGAATATTTCCTGTGAGTCCATTATGGGAGATATTTAACTTCAACAGATTTTCAAGAAATTCGAAAGTTGGTGGAATAGAACCAGTTAGCTCATTGTTCTGCATCTCTATTTCTTGAAGCTGGCTGAGTTTACCAATTTCATTAGGGATAAACCCATGGAAATTATTATTGCTAATAATTAAGGATCTCAAAAAAGAGAGTTGACCAATTTCTTTAGCAATAGTACCTCCTAGACCCATATCTGCTAAATTCAAGCCCCTAACTCTTTGATGTCTCCTGCCACAGGTAACGCCAATCCAACTGCAAAATGAGGTTCCTTGTGACCAATTTTTTGCCAAGATTTTTTTTGGATCAGAAGTTATCTGAGATTTAAAAGTTAGAAGAGCATACTCATCAGTGGAGCTATTTAGAGATGTAACAATGGTAATAAGTAAGTAGACAATTGCCAGCAACATAAATATGGCATTCTTTCCCATGGCTAATTTGAAATGCATAAAGATAATTGGGAGGGGGCTGGTAATGACGAGTTTGATAAATGTTTAAGTGTGTGTGTATATATATAAAATGAAAGGTGTATGAGGTAATTTATGGTTAACGTGTTGGTTGGGGTATCTCAAGGGTGTGCTGCTCATCACATCATTATGAACTTCACTTTTCAAAAAATAAAACAAACTATATGCTTGACTATGAAATTTTTTTTTCCATTGGATGTTCAGATTTGTCTGTATTTTTTATTGTGGAAATTGTGGAAGTTATTCGACAAATGAAGGTTTCATTCTTCTAGTAATCCAAAGGAAATAATTAGCTTTTGGAGACTTCATTTTCTACTCCCCCATTTTCTAGTATGGCCTGAATTTCCGCTTAAAAAAGATTTTTTATCATTTATTTTTTTATTATATAGCCAGAAGACAGGTTTTTGATGTCTCTAAGAACACTGAATTTAAATTAATTAGCTCAATGCTTGTAAATTCATTATTAAAACTGCTAAATATCTCTGTTAAGATATTTTACAACTTTTGGCCTATATTAGTGAAGTTGAACGTGCATTGCACTTTATTTTGAAATACGTTAAGTGTTGTAAAAGTAATATTTGATACCAATTTGTTGAGAGAATTTGATGAGTTTCAAATAAATAAAAGAAAATAAAATTTAGGATAGAAATTTAAGAGTAGAAAATTATACTCTCAAAACTCAACTTTTATGATTTTTTTTTTATTTTTTTTTTTGTGATGATGAAATACTACAAATGAGCAACCTTTTTATACTACATTTGGTACATAGGAATTAACTGCTAATAATGAATTTAAAAACCTATTAAAATTTCTTGGTACATGAATGAACATAAATTTATCTTTCATAACTCGAGATTTATGTAGATCCATATTCATCAAATCAAGATTCAATGAATCTACATTAATGTGAATGTTAATTAATTGAGATTTACTCACACGAAATTCATACATGATAAGGATTTTATAGTATTTATTACAGATTGAAAAACAAAGAGTAAGGTAGTATTGAAATAAATGAATTGTAGTCGGTTGAAATCATCCAAAAAATTATTATCCTTGATGTGGTAATCTATGGTTAACGTGTTGTTTGGGGTTTTACCACAAGGGAGTGGTGTGTTGCTCATCACAGCAATATGAACTTCACTTTTTCCAAAAATAAAACAAACTTTGCTTGACTATGAAACTCCATTGGATGTTAAAAATTTTCCTTTTCTTTTGGTGTGGAAATTGTGGAAATTTTTCCACAAATGGAGGTGTCATCCTCAAATAATGCAAAATAATAATAATAATAATAATAATAATAATAATAATAATAATAATAATAATAATAATAATAATAATTAAAAAGATTAAAAATAAAAATTGGAGACTTCATTGTCATTCAATACTCCCCCATTTTCTTGTAGAATGCAGAGATTTTTTTAAGAAAATAAAAATTGATCAAAGTGTGCATAATTTGAAGGTGTAAATCTTAGTCAATCTTTTGAAATACGGGTTGAATTTCCATTTCCTGAAGATTTTTTATTTTTTTGATATCCAAAAGAATGGTTTTTGTGGTACTAAGAACACTTAATTTAAATTATTTACGTCGATGCTTATAAATTCATTATTAGAAGTGCTTAATATCTCTTATATGGTATTTTTCAACTTTTGGTCTGTACTGGTCAAAGTTGAACGTGCATTGCACTTTTTTTGTAATACTTTAAGTGTTGTAAAAATAATATTTGATATCAATTTGTTGGGAGAATTCGATGAGTCTCAAACGAATTAAAAAACTAAAATTTAGGATAGAAATTTAAGAGTAGAAAATTGTACTCCCAAAACTCAACTTTTATGATTTAATTTTTCTGCGATGAAGAAATACGACAACTGAGCAACCTTTTTAAACTACATTTGCTACATAGGAATTAATTGCTAATAATGAATTTAAAATGGTATTGAAATTTCTAGATACATGAATAGGAATAAATTTATCTATAATAACTCTTAATTTATGTAGGCCAAGATTTATCAAATCAAGATTCAATGAATCTAGATTAATGTTAGTGTTAATTAACCATAATTACAAACACGAAATTCGTACATGGTAAGGTTTTTGTAATATTTATTACATATTGAAAAACGAAAAGTAAGGTGATACTAAAATAAATGAATTGTGGTAGGTTAAAATCGTTCAAAAAATTATTCTCGCTTGATGTGGAAATTTATAGTTAACGTGTTGGTTGGGGTTTTATCTCAAGGGAGTGGGCCTCATCACACCATTATGAACTTCTCTTTTTCCAAAGTAAAACAACTTTGTTTGAATATGAAAGTGGAAAAATTATTCCATTGCATATTGAGTTTTTTCCTCAACGTTTATTGTGGAAATTGAGAATGTTTTCCCACAAATGGAGGTTTCATCTTCAAATAATACAAAAAAAAAAAAAAATAGTAATAATAATAATAATAAATTTTTGAAGGCTTCATTGTCCATCAATACTCTCCCATTTTCTAGTAGAATTCAGAGATTTTCTTAAGGCAATAAAAATAGGTTAAAGTGTGCTTAATTTAAAAGTGTGAATCTTAGTCAATCTTATGAAATATGGACTGAATTTTCGTTTCAAGAAGATATTTTTATTTTTATTTTATTTTTTTGATATCCAGAAGAAATGGACTGGTTGGAAAATTAGTTAAAAGTCCGTATTTCAACAAACGCTGAATGGTTGGCGGTCAACAAACGATATTTAAATTGTCTTCTTTGACGAGGAATGGTTGGCGGTCAAAGAAAGATATTTAAATTGTCTTCTTTGACGCAAAGTGGTCGGCGGTCAAAGAACGATATTTAAATGGTCTTCTTTGAACAGTGTCAATTCATTATTGACTTCACTTTTTTCAAGAATAAAACAAGCCCAACCCTATCCAAGTGCTTCAATATTACTCAATTTTTCTTCGAAGGGAATTTAGTGAAATCGGTTATGCTTTATGCTCAAACATGATGGGGTTTCCTCGATATTCAGCTCATTCAAACGATCTTTAGCTGGTTAATTTGTCTAACAATTCCTTTTTATAAATCAAACCAGACTATTGTCCGAGTAGACACTTTCTAGTCGATCCAATTTGAAACATTACTCACTATAAAGATGTTACAAAAAAATTATTATTTTAAATAAATTTTATTTTACCATTGTATGGTGAATTTTGTGTATTCAAATATAGAAATTGCTACAAATTATATTTTGAAACATACAAGCGAATATTAATCTTCCCGTAATTGAAAAACTACAAAAATCCTCTTATTATTGATCTGATGAGGGGCCACGTGAGATAAATCCTGAACTTTGAGAATTTATTGAAAATTTGATTTGATGAGAACTTGGCTTGTTCAGCACTTGGATTTCGGGGTTTGATCTTAGACTTAAATTCGAACTGATTTCAAGAAGATTTCGATCTTTTCGGACTTCCTTGATTTGAATGAGATTTTGATATTCTTGGTGATCGCCGGACTGAGGTTTGAGGAGATTTCTTCTCTTCCTCCGGTTGTGGAATTTCTTCCACATTTTGTGATTTTTCCTCTATACTTTCACTTTTCCCAATTTTATGGACCATTGGTCTTATTTATATGGGAAAATTCGAAACCAATTTTGGTAATCACTCAATTATCTTTAATTGAAAGGAGTAATCGAGTAACTATAATTTTATTTATTTATTTATTTTTATAAAAAGTGACATGGGCCTCTGGATTTCATGGACCTTAGTAGACTTTGATTTAATTGGGCTTATTATTTAAATTGGCCCAATCCATTATTCTTTTCTTTCTTTTTTTTATATGTGTACAAATGCTGTCTCAAGATTTATTTATTTATTATGAAATAAATAAATTAATAAATCTTGATTTTTTATTTTTGTTAATTCAATTTAGAATTTGATTTGATCTCAAACTCATCATTAGCAAATTGATACAAATGGAAAATTTGAGAATAAAAAACGGATTTGATTTAGAATAAAATTATTGTCCTTTAAGTTCGAGAACAGAGAATTTTTTTATTTTACATGACTGTTATTTGATTATTTATTTATTTAATTTTTATACACCCATAACTAATTTGATTTTAAACAGGCTTTCTATGTTTTATGGTAAATTGGACTTGAGCGAGATCTGACATCCACCTATTTATATGCATAAATTATGAGATTTTGAAACAAGTAGGTTAAATTTACAAACAAAGGTAAAAAAAGGTTGGATAACCCTTGTGGTACATAAGGGTTGGTGCATAAGGGTGTCCTTCCCTTCACATGAGGAGGGCCCACCTGAATATATTTATTTGGATGGGCCCCCCTCATGTGAGGGGGAGGACACCCTTATGTACCAACCCTTATGTACCCATTGACCAACCCAAAAAGGTTTCTACTCTCTATATTATTATTATTATTAATTTTTTTAAAAATATTCGTGGTATCCGACGATGGAAGCCAAACAATTGGAATTAACCAATTCTAATTGGTTTCTTTGGTTAGCAAATTGTTTGGCAGAAACCAAATTGTTTCTTTTTCTTTTTCATTTTTTTTGTCTTTTCTTTTATTTTCCCTTTTTTTTTCGTTTTCTGTTTCGCGCTTTTTTTTTCAGGAACTCAATTTTTTGAAGCAAGTCAAAGATTTTGAGGTTTTCTTTGTGTAGAGTTTAAATTTTCATGCTACAATTATTTTTGGAGCTCAGGAAATATTTGCTCATCAAAATTTCAAACCTTTCCATGTAATCGAAGATCAAAGACTGTCACCTTTCACCATCCAAGACACTTCATGTTGGGGACCAAGAATCTACTTTTTCGACCATCTAAGGCAATTTGTGTTGCGGACCAATGATTGACTCCTTTGATCGTCCAAAGCACTTTGTATTGGAGACCAGGGACTGGCTTCTTTAACTATCCAAGGCACTTTGTGTTGGGGACCAAGGACCGACTTTTTTCGACCATGCAAGGTACTTTTTT